ATTGAGTAGATCGTGCAAAGAGGCAGGAAACAGAGCAGCACGTTTGGAGAACACTTGATGTGCAACATGGTGAGAAGAGTAGAATAGGAGACTACATGTCTCTAGAAACAAATCAGAGATGAGAAGGGATGTATTCCTGAAGAGTTTTTGGAAAACTAAAACTGTTATTAGATATATTGTAAAAGCACCATTCAAAACAAACAAACAAACAAAAACAAAACCAACTCTGTGAAGAGAATCATTTTATAGTCAAGGCACTAGGAATGTACAGACACAAAAAGACCAGCTTGTCTTCAAGATCACAAAATAAACACTCACTGAGATATAAATTATATCACGTTAGTTGATCTTATAAATTTAGACTATGAGTGGCACAATATACTTTCCTATAATGAAACATTCCTTTAAAAATGTCCTCATTCGCTTGATTCCATTCTTGGATTTGCAAGAATCATCCCAAAGAGTAGAGTTTTCTAAATTTCTCAAGAAGGTATAAGAAAATCCTTTGCAATGTGGAAACTATTAGACTTTGTATTTTATTTTTATCTCATGTTTTTAAATTTCTACTTTTCTATGCTTTGTACAACATGTATCACTAAATAGTACATTTATGCAATTTATAAATAAATAAATGTAGATACATGAAATATACATTAAAATTTGTTTAACTGATGGAACATTTAATAGAAAAAAATTGAAGATGGTCAGCATAGACTAATTTTCATACTCACTAAACAGTATAATACGGTAGCCCATCCCAGGTGTACAGAGACGTTTTGGTTTCATTGAAAATTAACTGAGACCTTATCAAGGCCTATCCCTTATTGTACAGTTGGAGAAACTGACCTCAGTAGACTGAATAGTCTGTTTAACTTCACACAGAATGTTATTCCCAAAGCTAGAACAGGAACCCCTTATTATTATTTCAATATTCTTCTCATTGCAAGCTATTACACACACACACACACACACATCACATTACATCACATCACTTTGATTTAAATGAAGGAAGCAAAATGTAGATGTTCAGACTGTATTGATAGGAAAATTAGTTTTAGTTTCTTGTATTTGTTACACAGGCATGGAGTTCAGACTGTATTGATAGGAAAATTAGTTTTAGTTTCTTGTATTTGTTACACAGGCATGGATTGCAACAATTTCCCATCATCTGATAGAGGATTTGGATACTAAGCATTCCTTGCCCTCAAGGGAACAGGCACTCATTCAGAGTTGCTAATACTCTTGCTCTTGATTTAAACAGTCATCAAGATCTATTGTAGAAAAAGAAAATAATGAACTATAGGGAATACAAAAGTCAATGGTAATTGAGACTAATAGTAAGACCTAAAAGTAGCTGACTTAGAAGTGCATTCATTGGGAATGTGAGAACTGCTAATAAGAGAAGAATCTTTTTCTAAGGAAAAGTCATATGACATTGTACAGGACACTGCTCATGTGTCCAGCATATACCCTGACCACTCCGTCTGCTCCCAAGGGAGTATCATCCACTATCCTCACCCAGGGCCTGACATCACTTTGACTCAATAATCAAATAAAAGTGATAACCTCCATGCCCCAAGACTATGTTTGGTCAGTGTTTGAGTAACTCATGATACCTCCATACCCCCAAAAGTGCTTAGGCCAACTCATGAAACCCCAACTCATAAACATCTGCTCTAAAGTAACCCGCTCTTTGCCATACATTATCTCTTAGGAGAAATGGAGTGAAAAGGACAACTCTAGAAATCTGTATGTAGAAGGATTGAACTGAAAAAGAATCCACATAATTGAAGCAATGGCTACATTAAAGTATATCGTTTCTTCGTAAAGAGTTTAGTTTTACTGTTTCATCAGAAGTCAGGCATTCAAGTTCTAGTCTTTATTCATAAACTGATAAGGGGGCTATATAAAGAAACTTGCATTGTTAATTTAAGAAAGCTTAAAGAATCATCTAAAGCTCAAATAATTTGCCCAATGTATATGCATTGTTTATGTCAACATATTTTTATGTTCCTCTCAATAATTTAACAGATAAAAACCAACCACTGGGGAAGACAGAATTTAACTCTCAAGAATGAAGAAAACAAATATACAACTGTACTGTCAGCATGATTAATGTGGTTTCACTTACCTGTCATCATTTGAAAACACCAAATACACTACTATGAATGCTAATCTGTCAATCACTTTTAAAAGTCAATCATTGTACTCAAAAGGATTTCTAAACACATGGAGGAACACAAACTAAATTTTCACCTTGCCCTTTATATCTTCAGATCCCAAAAAGTACTGAAACCCTGCAAAAGGAGATATTTTTGTTTGTGGATTTTATTTTGTTTACTTCTCTCAATTTAGACACTGAAGTTATAAAGGAGGGTGCATCAATAATGGGTATATTGACTGACTAAAATCAAATGGAATAAAAAATTAAGAGATATACATAGAACAGGAGAACATAAGACTAAAAACCTTCCAGAGATTATTTACCCCTAAATTCAATAAGGTAAAAGATCCACCATGAAGCAAATAACCATCCTGAAATTTAATTATACTTCAAAGTAATGTAGTTACATGAGAGGAATAAAACATTTTTGTTCAATGATTTGCCTACCAGATGGTATTTCTCAATATAGTAATCTAAAACCTTCCATTTGTTCTATAAATAATGATGAAAGTAATAGCAACAATAGCTAAGCATTTAAATCACTAAAAATAAGAGCACTTTGATTATGTTTTGCAGAATATGACTTACTCTAGTGCTGCTGAATCTGGGTCAGCTCACATCCTAGGTGTATCTCAGAATCCCAACATGCTCATCTACCTACTCAGCTGAGTGGTCAACAAGGAGGAGGAGCAAACCAAGAGCTAACACCAGATTAGGGGAAACAGGAACACCGATAAATAGAGATTATAAAGAACTGAAATCCAAATCTCAAGGGGTGGTTGTGTGTTTCTTTTTTAAATAAAACAGCTGGGGCATGCTGCCTTACTTTTGTGAGCTAATGTTTGCATATCGGTAATAGTTAGTGACCTGGCCTGTGGAGTCTGGTCTAGGTTCTGACCAGCAGTGGGACCTTGAAAGTTGTTTACCTCTCTGAGCCACAATAACAAAAAACAGGTGTTGATAGTGCAGAATTGTATAGGAATTACTTATGGCTGAGTGTTTGGCATCTAGTAAGTCCCCATGACTGTCAGCTGTTTATCATCATTATCAATATTATAATTATATAATCAATATAAATTATAATTAGTAGTAAGCAATTACGTTGCTGATTTCCTATTCTCTTGAATGACTATGGTGCACAGCAAGGGTTCCAAACAAAAGTGGTACTTCAAGAAAGAAGTCAAAGCCTTACCTGGTAGTTCACCCAGAGGCCCGTCCTAGAACCACACTGCCCCTCCTCTCATTTGGCTCTTGAAAGCTGAGGTCAAGTGTAGCCAAAGCAGGTCTAGAGATAGATTTTGAGACTTAGTTGTCAAAGCTCTATAATCCCCTCCCTTCCCCCTTAATGACTTCATTTTTGGACACTCTCAGCTGAAGATCCATAGGCTTCACTGAAAAATGCCAAGAGTTTCTTTCTAATCTGGTTAATGGACAGCAATGGTACAACACAGTGAGAACTGAGAGCTTATCCTGGCCACATGACCTGAATAAGCAGTTAGTCATTTGGGAGTGGGATGATTAACAGATAAAAGTTAAGTTGTAAATGCTATGTGAATGCAAGGTTGGTGATTAATGGCACTTCACATTTTTTGTTGTTGGATTTTGCATAATTAAAGAGCCACCTGCTGGGGGCTAAGCCCTCAGCATTAAAAGATGTCTATGTTTAGGTCTGTACAGAGGGGGTTATTATTAAAACTGTGATGAAATATGCATATGTAGCATCTTAACCATTTTTAAGTGTGAAGTTAAGTGGCATTAAGTATACTTATGGTGCACAACTATCATCACTATGTGAAACAACTGCCATCATTCCAAACAGAAACTCTGTACCCATTAACCAATATCTCCCAATTTCCCTTCTCTTGGCAACCACTTTACTACTTTCTCTTTATGAACTTGCCTATTCTAGATACTGCATGTAAGTGAACTGGGGTAATAACAGTATTTTATAAAAATCACACATATTCATTGCAGTCATAACAATATTGAGAGAACACATATTTTGTGGCTGGCTTATTTCATTTAACATACTATTTTCAAGGTTCACCCTCATTGTACTGTGTCAGAATTCATCCCTTTTAAAGCTGACTAGTATTCCATTATGTGTCTGTATCACAGTTGGCCCATTCATCCTTCTGTGGATTGTTTTGCCTTGGAGATGATGAGCAGTGCTGTTTGTCCTTGCTGTATAAGTAACTGTTTGAGTCACTTCTTTGATTTGTTTTGGAGATACACCTAGGAGTTCAACTGCTGGACCCTTCAGTAATTGTGCTTAACTTCTGGAGGAAGAACAAACTGCTTCCAAGGCAGCTACCCCATATTCTCATCAGCAACAAACAGGGCTCCCATTTCTCCTGATCCTCAACCATCTTTCTTTTTCTTTTTTCATTAATACTCATCTTCATGGGTGTGAGAGGTAGCTCTTTAAATCAGTATGCTTTTGAAATAACACAAAATTTATATCATGAGGAGACTTACTGCAGCTGTAGCTACAAACATCCTATTCAGGTCCCACTAAGTAGAAGATATGGTTATTGCTGCTCAATTTTACACATAGGAACCCCGCTATTTCTCTACTGAAAAAGGCAACTCTGAGTTTTAGGTCTGCAGCTAAAAATCCCACAGCAAATAAGTTGAGCCATTAGTCATCACCCACGCAGTTACCTGCAGAACCCTAAGCTCAGCACAACCAAACTTGGAACTGCTGGCAGAACCGCCTTGGAGATGACCCAGGGGCAGGATCAGCTGGCCCCGCCTGCGCGTGTCCCAGGGCGCCCCAGACGTGCGTGCGTGTGTGCGTGCGCGCGCACGTGCGCGCCAGAGGGGCGGAGCCGGAGAGCGTGGCAGCGGAGCAGTCATGGCGGTCGCCTCGGGTTCAGTGCATCTGCAGCGCTGCTTGGTGTCGCCGGCTGGGAGGCACAGCGCCTCTCTGATCTTCCTGCACGGCTCAGGTGGATTACAGTTTTTCCGTTCTGGTTATCGGCCGTTCGGGAAAGTCCGACCCAGGTTCCCCAGGGGTGACCCGAGAGGAGGAGGACTGGTGGACTCCGAGCGGCGGCTCGCGCGTGGCCTGCCGCGCGGCGCTGGACACGCGGGGGCCTGGAGGCCTGTGCCCCGTAGTGCCCTGTCTCTGTGTTCTAGCCCACGGTCACTGGCCACTGCCCGGCTTCAGCCCTTTGAGTCCCCCCCACTAAACCCTCCATCCCCAGTCCCCTCCAGGGCTTCTCCCCACGCTTCTCCCCCAAATTTAAACAGAGCAAGTTAGTAAGGTAAGTCTTGTGCTAGCGAGAACTGATTTAGTACTTTTCAGTACTTACCTAGTGATTGAAATTTTCAACCACATAGGATCGTTCGCCATTGAGTTCTTCAGTCTCCTATTTTAATGTAGACAGTTAACAGTCACAGTTAAAGAGTATTTTGTTTCCGTGAGCCTGGGCTCAAGTGTAACTCTCCCAGTCCTCTTTACTGCTCCCTTTTCTCTCCCCCTCTGCTTTAAGCCCCTCAGATCAAAAGCAAGTCAGCTCTCAGTCCCAGGAGTGGGTATTTTTGTACAGCATCCCCTGTAAGCACCTGTGTTTCATTCTGAGCAGCGTGCCTCACACTCATCTGTAATTACTTGCATGTGGCTTTCCTACTGTATTGTGGTAGCTCCTCAGAGTAAGGGCCCTTGTTTTCATCTTTGTGTCCCTAGTGCTTGGTCCAGGACAAGTTCTTGGTAAATGTGTTTAATGAAATGAGTTGTGCAGCCTGTGTCCTCAGGAGGCCCACCTAAAATTACAAACAAAACAGTTCAGTTAGTTTGCATCACCAGTGCATAGTGGTCACAAGATGGTGCACAATTTACTGCCAAGAGAAAAGACTGATTAGGCATTATTAAGGCTTTTGGAAGATAAAGAGCTTGTTAAGCTGGATATAGAAAGTGGTCTTTGAGCTGACACTAGGACAGTTTTAAAGGACTTGGGGATCACATAATGGAGAGGACTGGAAAGGTACAGAGAGCAGGCCTGGAAATGGGCAGTTAATGGAAAGTATCCTCATTTTGAAAGTGGGTGGTTGAACTTGGAAATGGGAAAAATGGAAGGTCACCTAGTTCTTCCCGTGAGGGGCAGAAGAATTGTGGTTTGAACCCTGATGTCCAACTAAAATCCATGTTCTGGAAAGGTAAACTGAAAAAAAAAAAAAAAAAACTAGAATATATAATTTTGGAAACAGGAAAGAAAGGACTAAAGATGTTTAAAGAAAGATTTAGGTGATGAAATATATTTAGCAGGTGAGTGTCTTAAGATGACAGCAGTGCCTAACAGCTAGGAGATTATCAGTAGGAATATTATTGCTCTAAGAGTATTCATTTATAATCATCAGAAATATCCCAATGCTAACTCCTTTTAATAAATTAAGTCAGCTCTTTTACTATATGATTAGGATATGCCCCTACAGCTTTGTTTGTATTTTCCCAGGACCACCTCACTTAACTCTTTTCAATTTTATAATTTTTATAAAATTAATTTTTTAATAATTTGTAAATATGTCTGTGAAACTCAGAATTGTTTGTTATGTAGAAATTTCACCATTATACTTTGAATTTATACAAAGAATCCTGCCAACTATGCAAATAAAAAACCATTGCTATGTATTTAGATGACCAGTGTGGTAAATGAAATTTACTGGGAAAATGATTTTACATTGGAATTTCATATATGTGGTTATGTTACAGGCAACGTTTGACTTCTAGTTAGTCCAAATATGGGCAAACCAATTTTAATAAGCAATTTTTTTTTTTTTGGAATTCAGTTTTAGCTCTTTAAAAAGTGAACTTTAGAAATGGATAGATGGATGTTCTGTAGCATTCCACTACTTGAAGAAGTATTTAGAGCCAGATTTAAACAAAATCTCAAAAGGTAGAGGTTGTATTCTGTAAGTGGCCACAGAAAAAATTATGGGACTGTAAGTTATAAGCCAATTTCATTTGAGTCTTTTCTGTGGGCTAAGGGCTAACCTACCAGAGAAGTACCTACTTTCAGGAGAAATAAAACAAATGATGGTTTTGTTAGCTTTGTTCTTCCTCCCAAATTTAGATTAAGTTACGTTGTTACATGTTCCCTTAACACACTACTGTTCTTCTAGCGGTGGCTTTCATATATACCTGTAATCACCTAATGTCTTTACTCCCCACCAAGCTGTGAGAGCCATGCAGGCAAACCGCATGTCTCTTCTATGGTTTTCTCCCGACATAATAAGGGTCAGCAAATTGACTAAGTTGACTTTAACTAAAGTCCTCAGTTACCTGTGTTGCTGAACATAGCAGACATTGCCTCTTATTTGACCTGACCCTAGGTTCACCTCTGTAGGGGTGACTAAAATAATGTGTTTCTATTCTCGGTGTCCTTTGAGATCTAGGCATGTTCATCCATCCTCCTAACCACTCTTCAGCCCACTCAGGAATATCTGTTGCACTCCACTGTGTGCAAAGTGTTAGTCCAAGCTGTGAGCAGCAATGAACAGTTAAAACAAGATCCCCACTTTCACAAATCTTACATGCTAGTGGAGTAAATGGTGTGTGGTAGTGGTAGTAAGATGGTGGGGGAATAACGCAGAATGAGGAGGGTGGGAGGTTTTGGGAATTAACAATTTAAGTAAGTAATTCAAAGTATGTCTTTCTGTGATGGTGACGTGTAGGCATCCTTAAATGAGTAAATCCTGTGGGTACCAGGCTAGACTGTTAATAGACAAGGAAAGCTGGCCCAAGGCTCCTAGCTGGGTTTCCTAGAATGTTTACAGACAGCAGGAAGGCTAGTGTGCCAGAACTGAGGACTCAGGGAGAATATCTACTCACTGTCTGGGTAGTGTCACCGTGGGCAAGCTTCTTCTGGAAGGTCACATGGTAACAAAGACATTTTAGATTTCACTGGTCATTTATTGCCTTTAATGTTTTATTTTTCCTTTTTTCCTGTTTTTGTTATCGTTGTTATCATTTTAATGACTTAAAATGAAGACCATTCTTAGCTTCTGGACCTTAAGGATATGGACTTTGTCCTTCAGCTGGCCACAGTGTGCATAACCCTAGTGGTGGACTTTGCATTGTGAAAAAGCACCCCCCCTCTCTGCCTGCTGCTTCATGCACTTCCCCTCCACATCCAGTGCTATTCTTCACCCAGATGCTCTGGCCAAAGACCTGGACTTCATCCTTGAAACTTTTCACCATTGACCCTCCCTAACTAACCTGTTTATTTCATCTCCTCTAAGTTTCTCAAGCATCTCCATTGCCATCTCAGCACCTGCCACCTGCACAGCAGCCTCCATTCTGATCTCCCCACATCTGCTTTTCTCCTCCTTCACCTGTTTTCATGCAGGTTCCAGAGGAAGCCATTGAAGCAGGCCTTCTTTTTGTCAGACTGTACCCTCCAGTTTCTCCATGCGCTCTCTGAGACCTACTGGGACCTTACTTTAGTCTCAACACATGCTCTTTCATTTTCTCTTTTCAATTCCTACATGTCGTACTTTCCAGGGAGGGTCTTCCCATTTGTCCTGTCCCACCTGAGATGTTTTTCCCTCTGTGCTTCCCTTTTACCGGCCTGCAGATTTAGTTCAAATCATTTAACAACATCTGTCAGTTGTCCTGTTTGTGTCAATCCTTTCTTGTTTATTTATCTTGTGGCACTTGTAGTATAGTGAAGGTATCACTAGGCTCCTCAACTGGGTCACTTCTGTATGTACTAAACTTTGTATCACCAAATGTCCCATCTTCACAGGGCATACCAGTGTCTTCCCCATTTATTTATATGATTGCTTGCCTGGTGTCTCTTTCTCACATTAACTGTATACAGGAGAAGAGGAGGCCTTTCTTCCCCTCGCCTCCCTGTTATTGCCTCTCTGGCATCAGCATAATGCTTGGCATGGCACCAGCTATTCAGTAGACAGTTTTTGAATTGCTGTCTTAATGAAATGATTGACTGAAACTTGAAGTTTTAAGTTACCGCTAAAATTCCTCTTCAGGACTACATGAAATGACCTATATTTTCCCCCAAGTTTTGGTGCAAATATGCATATTTGCACAAGTTTTGAGTATTTCTCAGCTTTAGGGTTTATAATTATTTTAAATCCTATAAGTAAACTTGTTGCCAAAGCTAAATTCTGATTTCTTAAAAATAAAGAAAATATTTTAACCAAGAAAGTTGTTTCAGATTGCTCCAGCTACAAATGTTTACAAACACCTTGGGAATTTACTATTTTTAAAATAATAAGAAATGACATACAGAAATCAGATATAGGAATATTTACCAAATTTACTTTGTTTCTATGATTTCCCCCTAAACAAATAAGGAGGGCCCTCCCTGGTGGAACAACGGGTAAGGATGCAGAGTGCAAGCCAACCTCAGCTGCTTCAGTGCTAGTTTGATCTCCGCCCCAGAGGTGACCACATGGTGCAGCAGACCTCTCCTGACCTGCCCATTGCTCCCCTCAGCAGTGTACTTTGTCCATCTGCCTACTCTGCTCCCCACTCTGTCTCTGGTGAATCCTCTCATCGCCCCTGCACCTCTGACTTGTACTCCATTTCTGTATGCATAAATAAATAAATCTTTAAAAAAAAACCATAACCCTTATTAAAAAAAAAAAATGGAGGGAACTTAAAACTCAGAGGTCTTCAGTAAACAGTGGCAATCAAGAATAAATAAAATTATTTGTACTTATTGATACCTAATTAATTCCTATTGATAAATTGATTATAGTTATAGAAGACTTTAAAATCTTTTTTAGGCCTCTATGTGGTATGTAAGTTATAGGTTGTTTTTAAATAAACTTGTCAAGATGTTTTCATAATTGTTTTTTATAATTTTGTGATTAAACAGGTGATTCTGGACAAGGATTGAAAACATGGATCAAACATGTTTTACATCAAGATTTAACTTTCCAACATATAAAAATTATTTATCCAACAGCTCCTCCCAGGTATGCAGTAATTTATTCTCTCTATAACTCTGCAGCCTAAAATGCTTATAATATCTATATCTATATATATATACTTATAGATCTAAATTTGTGGGTATATATGTGCACACACATAAATATATCTCTCCATGTAGATATTCTTTAAGCTTAATTCTTTAAGATATTTTAAGTGGGGACATTTTTCTCTTTGCAATTACACTGTTGGGCCAACTTTTGCCACTTGAAATTCTCACATAGTATATGGCATTTTCTATAGCTGTCAATTTAGACTTTCTTCTAAGTATAACTGTGCTTCCTCAGCCCTGCAGATTGCTCATTTTTCAAACTCTTTCCCCCCTCATTCACCCCAGAAAGAAGCCAGTAATTTCAGTGAGTATAATCTTTCCAATAATTTATGATCTTGGATAAAGGATTTTGTGACCTTTCTGTACTTAAAAAGATATAGAAATGGTATGCTTTTTGAATCAATAAATAAAAGCAGTGCTGTGGCATTGACTATTCAGTACATGCTTAGATTACTAACCTGTAGATTATATATAACTCACCATCATACCATTGGTCTAGGTTTGAAGTCAAATTGCTTTTTATAATTATTAAATTAACATCCTCATAGTATTTAATTCAGAACACATGCTTTTAAAGTGAGGTTTGCAAAGATTTGTCTAAGTGAAATAATGTGTTGAACTAAACTACCCAAATCATTCTCTGTTCTTGATGTATTCTTACTAAGCACATTGTACTTTGGTAAGTGTTATGCACTATTTTCTAATCACTTAGAAGTAAGACATAGAACTGGAATTTCAACAATCTTTGAATATGTACTGTTAAGATTTTACCTACCTCGGTTGATGGGCTTGAAAGAGGTAAAGCAATAATTGAGCCTCCCCTCAGTGTAACTAATTTTTAGTTGTAAGGCTTAAGATTCAAAAGTGTTATTTGTTCAACCCAATTCTTATATGCATAAATAAATGGAAACGAACCTTTTAAAAATTATTTCAGTATAATTCTAGAGAGTATTATAGTGGCACAGATAAATTATCTAATGATCTATGAGTTGTTTCTGTGCTGTAGATTTGAATGTTTTTCAAAATGTCAAAAAGAGTTTATTATTTGCTGTTGGGTATTAGGATGGTAAAATTGGGATGTAGAAAGATAATTATATTCTGATAGTTGTATTCCTGTGGGTGTAAAGATAAGTTCAATTTAGCCTAATTATCAATGTAGTTTATATAATGAAATTAATTAATTAATTAATTCAGCTAAACATTGAACATATTTATTAACCATATTTATTAGCATTTTTCTTATTAGACATTTTAACCCCTTTAGGCACAAATCTCTGTCACCTGCCATGCAGTCTTTTTGATCTTTCTCCATTTTATCATCCTCCATTAAGAAATAATTACTTCTTTTGAGCTTAAATATAAGTAAGCCAGCAAGTTCTCTTAGCTGACATTGCCAGGACTAATAATATATTGGTTAGGATAGCAAAGTAATCTGAGTATAGATTCCTTGATTTTTCTTTTTTTGCAGACTTTTATAGTTACCATCCATATACCTAATTTGGTAAGATTTGGTATTAATGACTTACTATTTTAATCTCTCCAAAGCATTTTAACTTTTAACATTAAACTTAATTTTCATAGGACCAAAACTCTTTTACACTTATATATTGTTTTAAATAATATTTAACTTTAACTGCATTAGAAAATGCAAGTGGCATATATTGTTTAATTTGTGAACAAACTCATATGACTCCTGGTAAGCATAAAAAGCATAAAGTTCCACTGGTAAGCCAAAGGTATGAGTGTGTGATAGAATGAAGCCTCTTTATGGGACCATTTAGCCTGCACTGGACATCAGACCTAGAACAGACAGTTTTGGTTAGTCCTGCTGAACAGTTTTGATAAGAGAGATTGAGCTAAGCATATTGTATTGTAAGTAACTGATTTTTTTTTTTTATAGATTTATTTATTTGTGCATACAGAGCTGGGGTACAGGCCAGAGCCTCAGGGGTGGTGAAAGGCTTCACCAGAGACAGAGTAGGGAACAGAACAGGCAGATCGATGAAGTACACTGCTGAGGGGAGCAGCGGGCAGGTCAGGAGAGGTCTGCCACGCCATGTGGTCACCTCTGGGGCAGGCAGGAATCGAACTTATGCGGAAGTGGCTTTAGCTTCTCAGTGCTGTGCTTTAACCCGCTGCACCACCAGGGAGGGCCAGTAACTGATTTTTTTCTTCTACCTTGTGCTAGATTAATTTCTAGAGCAGTTTATAGCATTCTCATCTCTTATCTCCCTAAACTAGGGATCCATTATTCTTAACTAAGTATTTAGCAAAGAATCAGAAGAAGAGATTTACTGATATTGAATAACTATTGTGCAGAATGTGTTATAATTTAAAATTCTGTAGTAGAAATGAGTAATGTAGTTGTTTTTATATATAGTACAAATATCATAACTGTGTGGTGACTTCTATTTTTATGAGTTTTTTCCAACATATTTTGCTATGCTAAAGAAATAAGTATTGTATTTGAGGGGTTGCAGATACATAATCTCGTCTTTGACTGGTACTAAAACTAATTCAAAATAAGCATGAGATCAATTAGTTGTGGCTTACCAAGCATCATGGAGCACCTTTAACTGAATCCTAAATTGAGAGTGCCCTAAGTGTTGTTAAGTCTGTAGTTATTCACTTTGTTCCCAAACTTCAGAAGGCTGTATGATAGTTTTGATTAGAATGATCTGGCATTCAGAAGATACCCTACTATTTCAAGATCTCCAATTGCTGTTCCAAATAGTTTATTCTGTTTAGGCCAGAAGTTTGTTCAGTTTTAGAGCTTGCGTTTACAGCATCACATGCTCCATTTGGTAGCACAAGACTGTTGCTGCCTTCCATCTATTGTGACAGTGTTTCTTGTGTTTCAGGAAAAAGAATGCTGTATGCTTGTTGTGGATGCCTTCCATCACATCTGAGCCTCCCGTTAGGAGGCCTATGGCAGATACAGGGCCTTCCTCAGTTCTCACTGTCTTTAATGTATTTGATAGAAGTTAATTCTAACCACCTTTTATAAACAGTGCATCCATTTTTGACATGGAATCTTGTTTTGACATTTTGCAGTACACATTCTGGCATTGTCCAACTTTCCAATATTTATTATTCTACTGTTTTTTCTTTCATCACCTGTGAACCCTGAAGTTTTTCTCCACTGTGAGTATTTCATTGGCTGTGTTATTCCTACCAGGGTATCCTGAAAATAACAGCTGACTTTTGAAATCTTGCCACTGGTGTCACCTAACTGGCATACAGGACTGAATGGCCTGTTGATTAACCACAGTCTTGTCCTCCAGTGACCTGGTCGCCCAACATGGAAATGATGCTGGCTGTGATGGAACTTTTCCCCCACTAGATATTCATGGAAATGACTTAAAATGAAATGTTAAAGCAGGTTTAGCTTTATTAGCTTTACTACAAATGCCAAACCTGTTTCAACAGAACCGCTGTGTTTGAGGCTTCCATTTGTTTCATGTCCTTGTGGATAATTTCCATTGTCAGTCTGTTTACTTTTGGCCAGGCTAGTGGATGTACAGCTTTATCTCATTGTGCTTTTAATTTGTATTTCTCTACATGAATGATGTTGATACTGTTTCAAGTTTTTGGGTTTTTTTTTTGTTTTTTTTTTAGCATTTGGATATACTTAAAAAAAAAAAAAAGGCCACACATCATTTGCTCATGCTTTCATTGGTTGCCATTTTCTTACTAAAGTTGTTAAAACTATATATTTTCTCATACATTTTGTTGTTGTTAGATACATGAATATCTTGCTCCTGTCTAGTTTGTATTTTCACTCTCTTAATGACATCTTGGGAACAGAAGTCCTAATGAGTTTTTTTCAAATTTAATGAAAAAATCTTAAACATACAGTTTAATACATTTTGATGAGTATGTGCAGGAGTTTAACAGCCTTTAAAATAATGTTTCAGTTACCCCAGAAAGTTTTCTTGTGTCTCCTTCCAGCCAATTCTTACCACACATGGGCTTCCATTGTTCTCACTTCTATCACAGTTATCATAGTTGTGTCTATTTTCTGCTTCAGTTAAATGAAAAAATTCTTTTTAAGATTTATCAGTAGTTCATTTAAAACTTTTGAGGTTTTCTATTTATTTATCCATTCTACCATTGA